CCGTCACATGACGGACGAAAGCTTAGCAACTTGTCATCGGAATCGAAGGAGATTGCCGTTTTCTGGTGGAACCGAACTTCGAATCTCTTCACCCAACACTTTCATCACTCGAAATGGAAGTAAGCTCAACAATTATGAAACAAGAGATTCGTCGAAACATTAAGAGCCTCGAGACCGAGCCGATGTGCCCACGACACGTGGGATGAGGACGATACAGGCTGCGGTGTAGAGTTGATGGCGCTGGAGGGTAGCAAATGTCGAACGCGGCAGTTCACAGGCTCGTAGTGGCTCGCAGAGATGGGTCTACAACTGACCCACGACTGAATGGAAATTTCGTGATGACCCAATTAGCGTTTGTGTGTGCCCGAAGGTATTCGTGCACCGAGATGCAGAAAAGAGACCAAGAGGAAAGCATCTCGATTTGGCGGTTGGTACCAGTTGGTCTTTCGGTCGCCAGCACCTCGAAGCGTCAGAATAACAGCCCATCTGCCAGCAATGAAGAAAACACACTCCAGATTCCCACAAAATGAGGACAACGTGGCTGGTCCCTATCTTTCCCCATGAAAGAGGAGACGAATTGGCATTTGGCCCAATTGGCAGACAAGCCAAACTGGTCGTTGGAATTAGAAAGCAGACATGGAAATATCGTGCTAGAGCACGAGAGACGTACCTATCGGCTTTCAGATGTGTCTGGTGGCTGATAAGGTCTTTCGCAAGTCACGATGGATTGGCGACTCAACAAAAGCCTCTAAGCGGGACACAACCAAAGAGACCTCCCACCAAATACTCAACTTGGGGAGTGAGCGTAAGCGAGGAATATGGGCAAATAATGTCAAACAACAACAACTAATGGACAACAGCAAAGAGTGGCTTTGGCAGAAAGTGCACCTATGCCCATACGTTGCCATGGCGAGAACCACAAATAATAACCTATCGAACCTGGGCCAGTTAAGATGATATAATGAAGGATGGAAGAGTTTTTCCCATAATGCCATTAGCTTTCCCCTGACTGTGTTTATAGAAGGGTTGTTGTTGTTTTGGCATCCTTCACGCGCCAATCTGATGATGGCATAGCAAAATGTGTACGCACAAATGTGGACAGAATGACAGACGCACGAAAATGCATGCAGGCAGTTTTGGGGACATTTATGCATGCCCATTTGCCCAGTTAAGGAAAGGAGGCTTCTTGTACCCTGTTGCATGGTGGCTCTCTCGCCCGAATGGCATGCAGGGCCAAAAGAAACGGCAGATCGACCGTTTCGCCATGGAAACGGCATCTGGTACCGGTGGTGGAGTCGAGTACGCTTGCACAAACCCACTTGTAGGCGACACTGGAGGAAACGAGAGCACAGAATTGTGTGAATGAGTGGATGGGCCATAGGAAATGGGCATATTGGTAGGAAAACTTATTGGAACGCACCTAGTCCGAGCTCCATTGTCTGCATGATCATTTTCAAAGTTGAACCGTCAACGTGGAACATTCTCAAACATTTCGCCGGCATCATCAGTGAGTATCGCCATTCTTAGCACCACACAACAACTCGTCAAAGAGACAAGTGA